TTTTAACATTAAATAATTTTATTATTATTATTTTATTTTATATTATTTTAATATTTTATTTGCTTACATGCACATCATGTGACCATTAACCGACATCAGATCACTGTGAACATGCAAATGTATAATTAAAAAATCTAAATATGAACTTATTAATTATTTCAAGATATTTGGCTGACAAAAATATTTGGGAATCCCTGTTCCGATTCCAGGATGAATAATATTAATATAAACACTATATATATGAATATAGTAATATATAAAGTGAAAAATGGATTAAGCAGCGTTTCTCTCACCATCAGGGTGTTCGTATGGCAGCCATGTGTGTTTGATGTTATTGTGGTATTTGTTGCTGCGCTGGACGCACTGCTGCGCTCTGAAGTCCTCATATGGGCCGGGACAGTCCTCTATGTTACACACCTGATAATCGAACGTTGTACCAGGACAATCACGACCTCCGTACACAGGACTGCAGAGACAGAGAGGAAATGAATAACAGAGCGGTTTCATTGATTCATGAGCCGGTGTAAGCAGGTTTGTAACGCACACAGGGTTGTTGCACTGGCGGCTGCGGGACCGAACGCCTCCTCCGCAGGTACGAGAGCACGAGCCAAACTTCCCCCAGGAACTCCAGCCTCCGTCGTGACCGTAGGGCTCATGGGATGACCTCCAGATGCAGTGGCCCTTAAAACACCACTGCAACACAAACACACACAAGCATCACTAACACACAACCATTACTATACCTGAACACTGTGTCCTAAACATATGACCATATTAGTTGCCATATAAGAGTTTAAAAATATCAATGGCTATTGTTCAATCAAGAGGCTATTGTTCAATTATGAGATTAAAATATCAATGGCTATTGTTCAATTATGATATTAAAATATCAATGGCTATTGTTCAATTATGAGATTAAAATATCAATGGCTATTGTTCAATTATGCTAACACACAACCATTACTATACCTGAACACTGTGTCCTAAACATATGACCATATTAGTTGGCATATAAGAGTTTAAAAATATCAATGGCTATTGTTCAATCAAGACGCTATTGTTCAATTATGAGATTAAAATATTAATGGCTATTGTTCATTTATGATGTTAAAATATCAATGGCTATTGTTCAATTATGAGATTAAAATATCAATGGCTATTGTTCAATTATGTGGTTAAAATTATGTGGTTTCCCAACCCTGAAACAACATACAGAACTACCAAATTTTGCTATAAGTTTGATTGCATCATATAATAATTGCTGTTAATAGTGTTCATCGTCTGTTTGATTACGTCTTTAATTGATTTTTCCGTACATTTCTGCCATATGTACATTAACTGACAGTCACCACTGATAAGCTACCACTAAATACTGTAGAAACTTAATTTTCTGTAAAGTTGCTTTGCAACAATTTGTATCGTGAAAAGCGCTAAATATCAATGGCTATTGTTCAATTATGAGGTTAAAATATTAATGCTATTGTTCAATTAAGAGGCTATTGTTCAATTATGAGATTAAAATATCAATGCAATTGTTCAATTATGAGATTAAAATATCAATGGCTACTGTTCAATGCAATTGTTCAATTATGAGATTAAAATATCAATGGCTATTGTTCAATTATGAGGTTAAAATATCAATGGCTATTCTTCAATTAAGAGATTAAAATATCAATGGATATTGTTCAATTATGTAATTAAAATATCAATGGCTATTGTTCAATTATGAGATTAAAATATCAATAGAAACTTAATTTACTGTAAAGTTGCTTTGCAACGATTTGTATCGTGAAAAGCGCTATACAAATAAACTTGAATTAAGAGATAAAAATATCAATGGCTATTGTTCATTTATGATGTTAAAATATCAATGGCTATTGTTCAATTATGTGGTTAAAATATCAATGGCTATTGTTTACTTATGTGGTTAAAATATCAATGGCTATTGTTTACTTAAGAGACTAAAATATCAATGGCTATTGCTCAATTATGAGGTAAAAATATCAATGGCTATAGTTCTATCAAGAGATTAAAATATCAATGGATATTGTGAAATTAAGAGGCTATCGTTCAATTATGAGATTAAAATATCAATGGCTATTATTCAATTATATGGTTAAAATGTCAATGGCTATTGTTCAATTATGTGGTTAAAATATCAATGGCTTTTGTTTACTTAAGAGATTAAAATATCGATGCTATTGTTCAATTATGAGATTAAAATAATGGCTATTATTCAATTATATGGTTAAAATGTCAATGGCTATTGTTCAATTATGTGGTTAAAATATCAATGGCTTTTGTTTACTTAAGAGATTAAAATATCGATGCTATTGTTCAATTATGAGATTAAAATATCAATGGCTATTATTCAATTATGTGGTTAAAATATCAATGGCTATTGTTTATTAAGAGATTAAAATATCAATGCTATTGTTCATTTATGAGGTTAAAATATCAATGGCTTTTATTCAGTTAAGAGGATATAGTTCAATTATGAGATTAAAATATCAATGGCTATTGTTTACTTAAGAGGTTAAAATATCAATGGCTATAGTTCTGTCAAGAGATTAAAATATCAATGGATATTGTTCAATTATGTAATTAAAATATCAATGGCTATTGTTCAATTATGAGATTAAAATATCAATGCTATTGTTCAATTAAGAGGCTATTGTTCAATTAAGAGATTTAAATATCAATAGCTATTGTTCAATTATGAGATTAAAATATCAAAGGCTATTGTTCAATTAAGAGATTAAATATTAGTAGTTATTGTTCAAGTGAGAGATTAAATATTGATCTATTAAGGGATTAAATATTAGTTTGCTTTGTTGTAAGCAACATTAAGTAATTTGAAAATGAATATATGATCACTAGTCACAGATGAAAGTCTGATGCTAGCAAACACGCCTGAGTAATAAAGTAATTAAGGGATTTAGATAATGGTCAGTTTTGTTCCAAGAGCAAATAGCTGGTTGCAAAGTGTCTGATGTGAGTTTGACATTTTCCAAATGCTGATTTCTACAAAGAGAGGTCAGTTTGTTCTTGAGCCAACTGAATATACAAGCTTATTATAAAGGTTTTGTGAGAAATGTGATATACCAATTTCATTCAATTGTTTGGTCACGTTGACAAGAATCACCACAGTCTCACCTTTCCTGGTGCACACTCCGTCCCGTCGACCGGCGGGCCCTTCTTGGTCTTACAGAAGTACTGATTGTCAGGATGGCTGCACCACAGCTGCTTACACGGGTCATACGTACGGAACTAGAGGATGAGAAAAGATATTTCATCAAAATGCAATAAGTTTCTCCTGATTTAGCTCTGCAGATGCACAATACCCAAGCTAATGTTGTCCAGCTCATCGTAAGCTGTATGAACTTGAGTTTATATTCACAAGATCAGAACTAAATATAGAGATAGAAAGATGCTTGAGGACTTACGGCGGTGCACATCTTATACCCCACACCGAAATCAAAGCGGCACTGCTCATCCATGGAGTAATTTATCCCAGGAAGCTCTGTGAGTTTGGGCCATTTCAGCTCGAAGGGATCATCCAGAAGACAGTCGTACGAGCTGAAAAAAATACCGCGGTTTGGGGGAAGGTTTATCAATGCATTGCACTTCATTCAAAAAATACAAATGCTGTCCTGATTCACACTCATCCTGCATTACTTTCTTTTCTATTTAAATATAAGACAGTGTTGTTCAATTAAGAGATTAAAATAATCTAAAATAAATGTATACTCCTGAAGTTAATGTTGTGTTCCGGTTGTCATGATAACAAAGCGAGTTTTTTTACACACGAGTGGCTGCCTATGTCAATAGTTTGCCTAAATAATAAATTACCTTTCTGGTTTATGTCGTCATACCCTAGTTTGAAGTTTGAGACTGGTTGCCATTCTCTGCCATTATATGGACGGGCACGAACATGGCATGACATGGCATTTTTTTTTTTACAATTTCTCATTTTGTGGTCCGAAAAAGAAATAAAGGTATACGGCATTAAAACAACACCAGGGTGAGTAAATAATGACAAAATAATGTATACTCCTGAAGTTAATGTTGTGTTCCGGTTGTCATGACAACGAAACGAGTTTTTATACACATGAGTGGCTGCCTATGTCAATAGTTTGCCTAAATAATAAATTACCTTTCTGGTTTATGTCGTCATACCCTAGTTTGAAGTTTGAGACTGGTTGCCATTCTCTGCCATTATATGGACGGGCATATAATTTTTTTTTTTTTTACAATTTCTCATTTTGTGGTCCGAAAAAGAAATAAAGGTATACGGCATTAAAACAACACCAGGGTGAGTAAATAATGACAAAATTTTAATTATTGGGTGAATTGTCCCTTTAAGAGATTTAAATATCAATTGATATTATTCAATTAAGAAATTAAAATATCAGTAGCTAATGTTCAATTAAAAAATTTAAAAATCAATGCTATTATTCAATTAAGAGATTAAAATATCAATGGCTAATGTTCAATTAAAAAATTTAAAAATCAATGCTATTATTCAATTAAGAGATTAAAATATCAATGGCTATTGTTCAATTAAGATATTAAAATATCAATGCTATTGTTCAATTAAGATATTAAAATATCAACGGCTATTATTCAATTAAAAATTTAAATATCAATGGCTATTATGCAATTAAAAATTAAACGATCAATGGCTATTATTCAATTAAGAGATTAAAATATCAATGACTAATGTTCAATTAAAAAAATGTAAAAAATCAATGCTATTATTCAATTAAGATAATAAAATATCAATGTTATTGTTCAATTAAGATATTACAATATCAACGGCTATTATTCAATTAAGAGATTAAAATATCAATGGCTATTATTCAATTAAGATATTAAAATATCAATGGCTATTATTCAATTAAGAGATTAAAATATGAATTCGTATTATTCAATTAAAAATTAAAATATCAATGGCTATTGTTCAATTAAGAAATTTAAATATCAATGGCTATTGTTCAATTAAGAGATTAAATGTTAGTGGTTATATAAGAGATTTAAGAGACTTTCTTCTGTTGAACACAAAAGGAACAACATGAGGGTTTGTAAATGTTCAGAGCGTCAGATTTAAAGGCATTAATGTCATTTCTTTTTCTCTGGAGAGATTATGTTCCTCATTTTCAGTCACTACTCGTGCTTCAGCTCCCAAATCCTCTTCTGCGATGGATACTGAGGATCAGTGCAGATGTAAAGAACAGCATCTTACTGGATGTATCGGTTGAGCTCCTGTTTGCTGCAGCGGGACCAGTGGTAGCGGTGAAACGCGGCCTGGACCAGCGGAGCCATGATGCTGCCCATACTGGTCTCGTCCGAGCAGCGGTTCCCCTGGCCGTCATGCTCCATTCCCAGCCTGAAACATGCAACACAATCAGCAAACTACTGGTCAGTTTCATCAAACAGAGTGTCCTGTAATGCTGAGAAGATTCATTTTAGCGAATCCGTTCATTTTGACTACATAATGACTCACTTATTCGTTCCTGCACAGAACTTTCTGTGTAGCTTATTTGTAGTGAAATATTTACATGAGTTGTGTATTACTATGTTTTCGAATGATTTTATTAGTTGTATTTAGCATTAAAGGGGTGGTTCAGTGTGTGTGCAGAGCAGGGGGAATCGAGGAATAGTATTAAGACCCGCTGCTTTTGAACACTGATTTTGAAACTTGTGAATCCATTACAATCGTTAGAAGACAGAATCGCGATTCATATACGAATAGATTTTTACATGCACCCCTAACTAACTAGTGTTAAAAAAGTGAAATCGCAATGAACCACCCCTTTAATTTGTGATCAAATCAAATGCTGTCAGTTAAATTACGCTACTATTGAAATATTTGGGTAAGATTTTGAAAAACATTTATCTTCTGCTCACCATGGCTGCATTTATTGGATTAAAAATACAGTAGAAACAGTTAAATATTATTACAACTTAAAATAACTGTTTTCTATGTAAATATATGCTAAAAAGTAATTTATTTCTGTGATCAAAGCTGTATTTTCAGCATCATTACTCCAGTCTTCAGTGTCACATGATCCTTCAGAAATCATTCTAATATTCTGATTATAAAATGCTTTGATGAATAGAAAGTTCAAAACAATTTTAAATAGAAATGTTTTGTAACATAATAAACACCTTTACTCTCACTTTTGATCAATTGAATGCATCCTAAAAATTGCATTTTAAAAATAAATTTACATTTTAAAAATAATTTTGAATGGTAGTTTATATATATTCTAATAGTAACAGATATATAAAGTTATTACTGTCTTAAATAGCTTCAAAGTCAACATACTTTACTTCATTAATTCATGTTACTGGTCTTATGAATGATTCATTAGTGCAAATTCTGAGAAAAAAAATTTGTCTTGATCTTCATTTACATCAAAATTTAATGACATTAATGAAACAACTTTTCAGCTGACGTCAATCCACCTTATTTCATATAGAGACATTTTTCACCATCTAATCAATTTATCATCAATAAAACTAAAGTCTGAACCTACTGTGTACAGTTCTGTTCATTCAGTATTCTGATTCATTCAGAAATACGGCCGATTATGGAAGTAAAGTGGTTGGTAAAAGTGTTTATGTTGACTTTAAACTATATGCAGCTTGATAAAGTAAGTCTCAAAGCAGCTTCTCAACATTTCCAGCAGTGCAGGAACATCCGACTATAAGCAGATCTTTTCTGCATGTAGAGTCACGAGCGAGACAAGACTGGATTCTGCTGACATCATGAGTTCGCTGTGAAACAAGAGCTTCCAGCTCATGTGACTGTTGTTAGTGTTCATAGAGACATAACAAATATTAAATCTGCAGTCATCGCTGATGAATCACATAATGAGGAAACAGACCACAGTGAGGAACAGCAGATGATTCATGTCTGTTCTCCAAACCGGCTGAGCCGAAAGGAGTTACTTACGACCTGGAAAATATAAAACATCTTGCAAAATGGCAAAAGGAGGCAGTCTTTCTCACAGCAGAGCTCTGTCCTACAGGGGGCGTTAATGAGCAGCCTAATCTAAGTATTACATGTTCATACTATGTTCATGTCCTCCAGGGATGTTCCTACTTATGAGTTGTAATTACAACTAATTTTGATCATAATGCAATGGACACACTGAGCAATTTCACATTTCTTTCTGCATATAAAAGATGCTTTATGTATTTTATCATTCTCATGCCGCCACACTGAATGATTCCTCATAAACTGGCTGAATGAGCAGCTTTTTCCTGGCAGCACTTTATCGCCATTCTTCATAAACAGCAGACAAATGCAGAAACTAATTTGTGCAGAAGACATTTCACAATTACAACTTAAAGGAATAGTTCATTCAAAAATGAAAATGTGCTGAAAATGTGCTCACCCTCAGGTCTATCAAGATTAGAATGAGTTTGTTTCTTCATCAGGTTTGGAGAAATGTAGCATTGCATCAGTGTCTCAGCAATGGATGCTCTGCAGTGAATGGGTGCCGTCAGAATGAGAGTCCAAACAGCTGATAAAAACATCACAATAATCCACAAGTAATCCACAGCACTCCAGTCCAGCAGTTAACATCTGGAGAAGACAAAAGCTGAAACTAATCCAGCATTAAGACGTTTTTAACTAAAATACATGTGTCCATAATCCATAATAACGCTTCCTCCAGTGAAAAAGTGTTCAGGTGTGAATCAGGAGAGAAATCTGCACAGATCAAGCAGCGTTTAAACAGCTCTAAACAAATATGTGCCTGGATTTTGATGTGAGAGACAACAGCAGATGCACTTTTTCACTGGAGGAAGCGTTATTATGGATTATGGACTCATATTTTAGTCAGAAACAATGGACTGAAGTTAAAAACTGTGTTTCTTGCAAACATGCAGCTTGTGTCTTCTCCAGATGTTAACTGATGGACTGGAGTGCTGTGGATTACTTGTGGATTATTGTGATGTTTTTATCAGCTGTTTGGACTCTCATTCTGACGGCACCCATTCACTGCAGAGCATCCATTGCTGAGACACTGATGCAATGCTACATTTCTCCAAATCTGATGAAGAAACAAACTCATCCTAATCTTGGAAGGCCTGAGGGTGAGAACATCCTCAGCACATTTTCAGTTTTGCCTGACCTATTCATTTAATTACAGCCAATACAAATTTGCATATTGAATAACACGTCACTAACTAGCTTTACTGCTAATTACATCTTGTAAACATGATCATTCTAAAAAAAAAAGGCAGCTGCCATCGTGCCATGCTTTACCTATACAACCCAAATCCTTAAAACGTTCATAAACGAGACTGAAAAGCAGATGTAAACTTACACGTGTCCGGTTTCGTGCGCCACCACAAAGGCAGAGGAAAAGCCGTCTTCGTGGTTGAGCGTGCAGCTCCGCAGCGGGTGGCACATGCCTGTTACCGGGGCGTAACCTGGGCGACAGAGATCAAAGAGAAACGATGATGAACTGGAATGCGGGACATTCTAGAAGTCAGATCAGAGCCAGGTGAGTTTTATTTGGAAAGTCTAAGATTCCTTCCCGTTCAAAGAGCCGCAGGTCACTGTCAAATCAAACACATCAAAGCACACGACGTGGACACCCAACTCAAAAACCAGACCAACTTTCTGACACAATCACTTCACTGTTCCGTTAGCAATGGCAATTCTTAACTTTAAATACGATTTTTTCAAAAATGAACCCAATGTATGTTTTTCTTGCTCTGTTCCAAAACCAAGTGAGCTGTCGGATAAACAGGATTTCATTATGAAGGTTAGTCCAAAAGGTATCATGGCACTTCAATGATAGCTTCTTCTGGCCAAATACTGAAGCTCTGCATGTATTCCTCATCAAGAGCACAATCCCATAATGCATTGTGACAAGTTTCTTATAAACATGCACTACCATTCAAAAGTTTGGGTCAGTCTCTTCTGCTCACCAAGGCTGCATTTATTTGATCAAAAATACGGTAAAATTGTGAAATATTATTACAATGTAAAAAAGCTGCTTTCTATGTGTAATTTATTGTTGTGATCAAAGCTTAAATATTTTATATCAACTTAATGCATCCTTGATGAATAAAGGTATTAATTTCCTTCAAAAAAAAAAAAAAATCTTACTGTCCCCAAATTTGAATTGTAGTGTATGTTTCATTCATCATCATAAAATATAAATAAAAGTAGTTTAATCACAATAAAAAAATTATATTAGCATTGGTGCAATTTGACACAAGCGTCTACACTCTAAAAAATGAAGTTGTAAATAAAACAAAGATTGTTGAAAATTGTTTCTACACCTTTTTTTGCTTTCAGTTTTTTTTCTATGTGCAACTTAGTTCAGACTTTTACAAGTTCTCCACCATAGCCTCCATGTAGAAGCGCACAAGCAGCTTTACCGATCAATCCCACACAACCATTAGCCACATTTAACAGAACACAGTGTTCATACGACACACAAACACCACAGAACGCACAACACAGACAGACCGACACTCGATCAACAGATATGCAGTGCTAGAGCTTTAGTTTAGCTGAGCTGCTCCGGAAGCTAAAGCCAGTCTAGGCTTTTTTTAATGAAACGTTCATGCTATTGAAATCACCAACAGTCTTTGGCATGCAGATGAAAAGCAGAAGATGCAGATTATGAGAAGCTTATGAAGCATTCAGTCTTTTAATGCCTGTTGTAAAAGCATCAATAACAGCTAGCATCATTTGATCACATATTTAATACTAGTGATATTCCTGCAGATCATCAGCCATAGGTTTTATTGGATTTTTTACATAAACAGAACAACAACTAAAAAAGTCAAAGATGTATTTAGCCAGCGAAGGGTTGCATAAGAAAACAAGCTGCTAGCCGAGCCGTTTATCTGTTGTCAGATAAATGTCCTCCAGGTGAATGCAGCTTTGCATTGCTCTGGACAAGCGTGACAGTAGCGCTGTAATCACAGGGTATTAGATTACATTAATCCATGATATTGTGACTGATATTAAAGCGCTGCTGCATGAAGATGGTTCACACAGGATAGTTCTGGTTTCTCTACATGTTTGCCCTCTAACAACCATAAACATGTTGCCATAAAGTATTATAAATAAACAAAAACCTGAACCTTTTGTACAGCATGTCAGGAAGACAAGTAAAGTGTTGCTTGCATTTGTCACACTCAACCATTCAATGCAAAGTAATTGTAAAAAAAAAACATTTTACACACACACACACACACATACACACACACACATACATACTATATATTATAAGCTAACTACAAAACAACATTTTCTCCCAAACAAGAACCTAAACTTTATATACTGTACATAAATTTTTTATTGCTAAAAAAATAATAGAATACAGAATCTGTATTCAGGTAACTTTTCATAGCATTGTTGCAAAAAAAGCTCATATAAAATAAATAATAATAAAAACACGTAACATTTAGTTTCATCCCCTGAGGTACATCTTCTGAAGATGAAGCGCCTCCTTTCACTGAAAGTTTATTGGAAAGGTACAGCGAGTTGACAGCTATAAAATGGGTTTCCCTGATCCTTTTCCAAACCACGTCATTCCAAATCATAACCGCTGTTATTAACACAGGAACTGCTGAATCAGGGCCTTCCAGTTATTGCTTGACTCCATGCGACTGCAGCAGGAGAGCCACACCAACACCAGGCTTCAGGTGCTGGCCGTTTCCCAAACACCTTCAGTGCATGAGTGTTACTGTAAGCATGTGTCTATATCTGGGCCCTGAATGAGGGTTGAAGCTTGGGACAGGAGTGTGATGTTTGCCCTCGGGGTAAAAGGTTACAGTTTCAGCACCGTACAACGCGCCCACTGCGATGTTATGAGCACAACAGAGGCCGTGGCGTAGCAACAGCAGACGTGCGAAACACAAAACAGGTATTACTGACTGTCTTTAAACATCACACAAGGATCACGAAACCTAAACACACATCCATCAGAAACAAGTCCCTTAACTTCAAAAAGACTGAGTGATAGGAGCACGACTGAGAGTGAGAGTCAAACACAGGACAATCGCGAAAACAAGAGTATTCCTAGAATGTCATTGCATAAGATCAAGATATTAAATCAAGAGTCATTTATTGTAAAAGAAGACGCCCAAACACAATTTATAAGCTTAAAGGATGTTTGTTCAGTTTGAAATCCTAAAACAGCAGATACAGTGTTGAAGAAAGTCAGTTTTGTGTTCGTTTGTGGATAATGTGATTCTTTACATCTATTAAAATCACCAAAACACCTGCTGATTCAAACACACTGAGACTTCAACAATCACGAAGAGCAGTGAATTTAACAAAGAGAAAAGATACTGCAGCATCTAATATAATGACATTTACACACTTAGAAGAATGGCGTAGGTGAATATGTATTTCAACACTGCTGTGTTTTAATCAAGTGCTACTTTAATATTTGACGTCGTTTTAATCTACACAACAGAAACCTCTTGACATTTATTAACCTAGTTTTTCCAAATAAAATGTTATTTAGAAACAAAATAAATGTTGTGTAAAAATAAAAAAACTTTCATCTAGTTGCCAAGGCAACATTTGTCATTTCATTTAGGTTAATGTGAAGTACTAAAATAACAAAAACTAAAAGTAATAAATAAAAAGCAACAAAAACTATACAGACATATTTAAAAATAAAAACATAATAAAAAAGACAAAAACACAGCAACATTTTTAAAACTTGAATATAAATATAATCTAAAATCTAAAATTAAAATCTAATTCAAAATATTAACAAAAGCTCATTTACACTCTAGAAGAAGTTTTTTTTTTTTTCTTTTTTTGGTGCTGCTGTATTTTAAGGCTGTTATTTCGTTTTAATCTACACTACAGAAAACGCTAGTTATGTATGTAACTGTGGTTCTGTGAATTCCGGATGACCGCCAGAGGCTCGAAAGTTTAGTTTAGTTTAGTTGATTTTGCACAAAGATAAAATAGGTACAATAATAACGCAACAAAAACAAAAAGTTTAATCCATATACTGTGTAGGAAGAGGCAGAAAACCCAAATAGCTTAGGTCGAGATCAAGCGGCAACCTTCCGGTCTCTCTGTCGAAACCAACACGGAAGTGACTTAAACTGCAATTCATCGACTGGCCGCTAGAGACTGGCTCCAAAAAGGAGTCAATCCCATAGACTCCCCATGTTAAAATGCCCAACTTTACAGCAGAGAAACATATGTTTACAGCCTGGTTCAAAAAGTGGGTTTGGTCTATATAGCTAATTTTGCCCTTCATGACAACTGTGAGGGGGGTGAATTTTTTTATAACTCATCTGTTTCAATTATATTAAGCTTTAAAGTTCTGCATAATTAAGGGCGTGGCCACTTGAGTGACAGGTGAATTGTCGCTGCTGTCACCACCGTCGAGCTGGGCAGGCATGATTTCAGCAACCAGCTCCACCCACGTCACGCCTCTGTGCCCATTTTCGATTATTCAGGAGTGATGCACGGTGACGTGCTGCCAAGATGACGATGGCCCGCTCCGCCCACTTTAGGCTTCAAAAATGCTCTTCAGAAACCTACGGGTGACGTCACGGACACTACGTCCATGTTTTTTAACAGTCTATGGTCGAGATACAAAAAAGTCACATGGTGACATAGGCTGAGCCTTGAGTATAATAGACACACTAGCTCAGCCTTCGCTGTGTTTTAATCAAGTGCTACTTTAATATTTGACGTCGTTTTAATCTACACAACAGAAACCTCTTGACATTTATTAACCTAGTTTTTCCAAATAAAATGTTATTTAGAAACAAAATAAATGTTGTGTAAAAATAAAAAAACTTGTATTTTATTTCATCTAGTTGCCAAGGCAACATTTGTCATTTCATTTAGTTTAATGTGAAGTACTAAAATAACAAAAACTAAACAAACTAAAAGTAATAAATAAAAAGCAACAAAAACTATACAGACATATTTAAAAATAAAAACATAATAAAAAAGACAAAAACACAGCAACATTTTTAAAACTTGAATATAAATATAATCTAAAATCTAAAATTAAAATCTAATTCAAAATATTAACAAAAGCTCATTTACACTCTAGAAGAATGATGCCACTGAAGTTTTTTTTTTCTTTCTTTTTTTGGTGCTGCTGTATTTTAAGGCTGTTATTTCGTTTTAATCTACACTACAGAAAACGCTAGTTATGTATGTAACTGTGGTTCTGTGAATTCCGGATGACCGCCAGAGGCTCGAAAGTTTAGTTTAGTTTAGTTGATTTTGCACAAAGATAAAATAGGTACAATAATAACGCAACAAAAACAAAAAGTTTAATCCATATACTGTGTAGGAAGAGGCAGAAAACCCAAATAGCTTAGGTCGAGATCAAGCGGCAACCTTCCGGTCTCTCTGTCGAAACCAACACGGAAGTGACTTAAACTGCAATTCATCGACTGGCCGCTAGAGACTGGCT